AGTATTCGTAGTGCTTCTGCAGAGGAATATACTTGTATATTACCAAGACTATAGTGGTGAATACAGAATCACATTGTGCATCTTATATGGTGTACTTTATAGAATCTCACAGCAGTTGGAAATGGCTGGGCTGTTAGATGCAAACATGTTCTTCCTGCAGCATATCTCTCCTGACTTCTGCCACCATGTTTGGCAGAAAATAAAGTGTGCAACGCGGATAGCGGTAATTAGTCTGCAGAAGCAGAACTCCAGTGGGAACCCGATCCAGCTTCTCTGTGATAGAAAGGTTAATTCAGAGCTCTGTCTTTCAGTCACTTAATGTCAGAACTATCTCAAGTGGACGGAAATACCCAGAAATCACTACCTTCTGGTTTCCTTCTTTTGCAGAGAACACTTCCAGCTGTGTGCAGTAATAACTTTTCAGTTAAACTGCTCAGCGAATTTGATTTTTTTTGGAGTGAAATAAGTACATAAGTGTTTTACCAGGTGAATACTAGAGTTTTATAAACTGGGCGGGAAATGGGTCTTGGGTTTAAAACATAGAATTTTGGCTGTACAATGACTGAGCAGTGCTAGCTGTGTATTATGATCTTAAACAGCTGTTAGTATAAAGGGTTAAAAAAAATAACCAGTACAGTCTGTGATAGTTGTTATAATGCCAAGGTTACCTGGGCCCAGTTCCTTAGTAATGGATCAAACAGTTTAGCAATCCCAGTTGACCAATCTGTGCAAGGATATATGAACAGAATTTTATGTATGCTGTGTCTATTTATTTTATATTTTCTTATCACATTTCCTAGGCTACAGTTTACAAGTAAAGTGATTTATTCCATTAGATGTTGAATTTGCTACAGCAAATTCAGTCATTTTTATCCGGCTCAATTCTCCTAATTTTTTATCAAATTACCCTAAGGTTCACTTTACTAACCTGTAACAAAATGGAAACCAATTTAAGCTAAATGGGTCCCTCCTATTTTTCAATGAGATTGCTTTAAAAATAGCCCAGCAGAACTGGACCTGAATTTCCCTGTTATAAGAAAAACAAATTAGTGACTTTGGATGAGGCTGGTGTTAGGGTGTCAAAGACACTCTTGTCACCAAGACAACATCATTTCAGTTAAGTAGTCTGGGTTCCATGTTCCACTCTTTTTAACCCTGCAGGTGACTGCTGTTCTACAAAAATTACAATGTTTACATTGCATGGTTTAAATGCCTCCACTGGTTGTCACACTGACAGCCATTAGAGGTGCTTCCTTTGAAATAGCCAAGTAAACTTGACAATTTCAATCAGGTGGTCTCAAAGATCATCTGCTTGGTGCCATGCAGCAATTTGCCACACCTGCGCACTAGCCTTCAAATGCTTTCCTTTGGTAAATCATTGAATTGACTGAGATCATCAATTTAAATTATCATTGGAGAGAATAGCATGGCATGGGAGAAAATAGATATATACAGTTGTGCTCAAACATTTGCATACCCTTGAAGAATTGGTAATATACTGTATTTTTTCATAGGAATATGTGTTTTTTTTTTGTCTAAAATTGGGGGTCGTCTTAAACACAGAATGTCACTGCAGGGGATAAAAAAACAAAACACTTGTTTGCGGGGCCTACATTATGGCGCCTGGTGCATTTCAGTGATGCCACGCCCCACACACATACCTGGCTTACCTGCCACCGATCCACTTCTGAAAGCTGTGGCAAGGAGGAAGGGGTTCCTATATGTGTGGAAGCTGCAGCAGACATCAGCACTTACCACCAACGGAGCTCTAGAGACATGACACACAGAAAAGGAGCAGCCATATTAAGGTTTTCTTCACCTCAGATAGGTTTTGGTTTATGACTTATATTCATGGGTGAGGAAATGGGGATCAGGGAGCTGTATTGTGGGAGCTTTAGTCTCCCAGCATGTACTTCACAGAGTACCGTAGCACAGAGGAGGCATGAGAATCAGAAGTGTGTTGTTCTCCTCAAAAGTCACCTCTAAAATATCAAATTTGTTCTATTTGATGTTTAAAATATTGATTTCTTAATTTTGGGCTCAAAAAAATAGGAGTTGCCTTACACATGGGGGAGTCTTATTCACGGAAAAATACAGCATGTACCATTTTTAAAGAAAACATGAGTGAGCATGCAAAACACATTTCTTTTCTTTCCCTATGGGATTCATATTCAACTGTAGGTTAAAATTGAATGGTACAATCATAAAATAAAACATGGCAACAAAGAAATAAATGAAATGGCCCATGTATAAAGGTCTGCATACCCTTAGTTCTTAATTTGCCTCCAGGCCATGCAAAGTCGTCTTGCATGAACCGCACGTTTGAGATCTTCCCAAAGTGGCTTGGTAATATTAAGGTCTGGAGACAGGCCCGCCCTATTAGTATATTTTAGTCACAGCTAGCCGGGGGTATGTCCTTGCCAATTGAGTTTGAGGGGTTACGTTTAAGTATATGGAATGAGATGAACAAGTTTTAAGGTCTCAATCTCCCCTGCTCCAAAGGATTAACCTTAGGTTACCTGGGATGTCGTGTCCACCGAGCGAGGATAAGGTCGGCTGGTGGCAGGTACTGGAAGGAAATGATTTTATACCGAGGAGGGAGGTGAGAGGATGTGGTACATAGGCATGGTCAGTTTATTGGCAAGGACGGCTGGGTTCACTGTATGACACTATGTGTTAAGTTATTTATATATATATATATATATATATATGTTAAGTTATGGTTATTTATGTTTAACGTTTTGGTTACAGAAAAGAAGAGAAATTATTAAATAAATTATGGAGGTGTCATACAGTATTTATCATATGTTATAATAAATGCTGTGGCCTGTTTGATCCATACTACGTTGTCTGTCATTATTTTTGAAGGGGCTTGAGTTGGGTGGGTTTACTGTATGTATTATGCTGCATCGCGATTCCCTACTACGTACATACATGTAGTGGCCACTCAAGAACCTTCACCTTTTTCTGCTGTAACCACTGGAGAGTCAAATTGGCCTTGTGCTTAGGATCATTGTTATGCTTGATAGTCCATGTGCGTAGGTAGAGGGTATAGGTATAAACCTTCACCATTGATAAACCACAACACATCTTATTTCCCAAAGGAACCACAACAAACTTGCTTTGGATTAAAATAGACCACAGCTTCATTAAAATATAAATATATAAATCTTTAAACTTCAACTTTATAACATAAAACAATATATATATATATATATATATATATACATACTCAGTAAATGGATAGGTCACTGAGTACCACCTTGCCAACCAAACATAACATAGGGCAGCTGCCCCTCCCTCCCTCATTCCAACCAGCTCAAAGCCTTTTCTTGGGCCTTCCATTTTGTAATGCTAACCACTAGCCGCTTATTGGCTCAGTGGGTACGTCCGTTATCAATAACTGTACCTGAGGTTAGGGGAGGGACAACCCTACCCATCCACTTTTCACAGACAGCTGTTCCAACCCCAACCCCCAAGGGCAATATACTGTGAACAATGTCTAGATTTTGCTGTCCAAATGTCCCTGTATGTAGACGGATGGTTTTGCCCCGTTAGATATGGGACCTTGTTGACTTTTGTAAATAATTCCATTAAACCCCAATAGATTCAGCAGATTTTTTTACAGGTGAAATAGCCACCAAACAGCAGTGCCACTTCCAATAAAACAACTGACACATTTTAAAAATCATATGACATTTGTCTGCAATTTCAGCACTTATTGAATGTGTGTATTTATATGTGTGGTGTGTGTCCATTTTATGCTGTTATTCATTGTTTATTTTTTTTATTATGTTAAGTTTGTTAAAATATTCTAAATCATATTACCTTCAGAGTTTCACACAGTAGCACTTGCCTCCATCATTGATTCCTTACACAGGTAATAAAATAAGCACTTAAATAAAATTAAATTGAAGTAGAATTGTGACAGAGTTGGTAGCAGTTCATCTTGTACTTATCCCAGTAATTTAATAGATTTAATAATAATTTAGTTAATTTCTTTATTTTTGCAGTGCGTAAGTAATACAAACAAGCTTGTATCGCCATGACAGCTGGTACGGGCTAAAGTAGTACAATAAGAAACAGTGTCTTGGCTTGCGGGAATGGCACAATTTTTGTTAGATTATGCGTGTATAGTAAATATGTCTAAGAACATTTGTAAATAGGTGTTGGTTATACATGTTAATCCGGCGTGTCCGTGGTCTAGATAATGCCAACAGTTTTACAATATCAACTACCCAGACTTATGGTAGTTATTTACAAGCTGGGTGGACTTGTGGGAATGGCACAAATTTTAGTATATGCATGGTGAATAAACTTATCTAAGAACGTTTGTAAATAGGTATTGATTATACATGTTAATCAGGTGCGTCTGTGGTCTAGATAATACAAACAGTCAGACAATATAAACTACCCAGACTTATGTTAGTTATTTATAAGCTGGGTGGACTTGTGGGAATGGCACAGTTTTTAGTATATGCATGGTGAGTAAACATATCTAAGAACATGTGTAAATAGGTATTGATTATACATGTTAATCAGGCTCTTCTATGGTCTAGATAATACAGACAGTCGTACAATATAAACTACCCAGACTTATGTTAGTTATTTATAAGCTGGGTGGACTTGTGGGAATGGCACAGTTTTTAGTATATGCATGGTGAGTAAACATATCTAAGAACATGTGTAAATAGGTATTGATTATACATGTTAATCAGGCTCTTCTATGGTCTAGATAATACAGACAGTCGTACAATATAAACTACCCAGACTTATGTTAGTTATTTAGAGGCTGGGTGGGCTATTTGTACTGGAAGGCAGATCAAATGAGTACATATAGTACGAGCCATCTGCTGTGCTCCTAGGAGCTTCTCGCGGGGGGTTATGCAGTTATGTGAACATGTGATAAACATTTAACGCAAATGGAGATAGCGAGAAGAAAGAAACAGCACTTAAATTGCAGAAGGTTCTATAGATTATTGTGGTATTCTGTGAGCAGTTCATGACCCTGAGGGTGACGATGGGTTTCCTCGGAGGGCCGCAGGTACGAATGGGCGCACCTTCCCTGGGTCCCAGTGAGTAGTAGTGGAAGGTGTCGGCTGAGATAGTAATGCAACCTTTTGCTCGGGCAGTCCAAGGGCCTGCATTATACCGGGTATTTCAGCAGCATTGGTGAGTTTCAAGTTGCCTTGTTCCTTTGGTATGATTAGGCTTCTCGGCGCTCCCCAGCGGTACGATATTTTACGGGCAATGAGTCTACCCCAATCCAGGGTAGCTCTGGATAAGTCAGGAAAAAATGTTAAAGAGTGTTCCTCAAATTGTAAGGGTGACCTGTTGCGGATGGCCGCCATGAAGGCCAATCGGTCCTGGCTCTGCTGGAAGCAGATGATGGTGTCCCTGCTATTGCTCTGGGTGCTTGTGGCTGGTTTAGGGATTCTGTACCATCTATCTAGAGGCATCGCCTTGGCGGGAAATAAAGTATTGAGCATCCTGCGGAATAGGTGCGGGAACTCCGCAGGCTCTAGCGTGTCAGGCAGGCCTCTAATTTTAATATTCTTCCAGTGCCTTTTGTCTTCCATTACTGCCATATTTTCTTTGGCTTGTGTCTGTTCTCATTGTAAGGCACCCATCTGTCTCTCCAGCGTTTGTATGCGGTTCTCGTGATCCGCGGTGTTCAATTCAGTGTGTTGCAAGCGTGCTGAGATGCCATTGATTTCCTCCCGGAACTGCCCGATGTCGGTTGCAATGTTCCGGCGTAGCTCATCTAATAGGCTCGGCAGCGTGTCCTCCGTGACAGGAGGCTTCGCAGCCGGTAAGGGCTTTGGAGGAACAGGTCTGGCAGGTACCTTAGTGTAGTAGTCCTCCCCATCAGCCGAGATCTCGTCACTGGAGGATATTCCATCAGACATTGGCGCCATTTCGGGCCGTCCAGATGCTTGCGGCCTTCTCAGTAGTTCACCGATATCGGCCGTTGCGGGGGGTCATTCCGCTTTGTATTTCTTGGTGCGTCGCCCCATGCCTTCAGTGTGGTAAATATCACCTTTGTGCCAAGTTTTGCAAGGAAGTTCCTGTGGGAAATGCTTATTTCGCTGTTTGTGCTCGGAGCTCGAGGAAGATGCGTCCTCACAGTATCTTAATAATAATTGAATGTGCTGCACAGGTAAGTCTAAAACATACTTACCTATTACGGTATCAGTATCAGTGCGTTTCTGAGATGCTCTGTGTGATCTTGCAAACCCAACATCATTTTCTCAAGCAACCACTTAGGAAGGCATGGGGCATTTGACATTTGCATTATAAAAAAGTCATATGAAGAGGTAAAGTTATAATAAACTTTATTATAGTTCGTTTAGCTGTTAGAAGCTATTTCAGACATCTTACCATAAATTTGATTAACAGAAATGTAGTATTTACTAGCCATAAAAATAGGAGAAATGAGTTTCTGTTAATGTTTATAGCTTGGAATGACAGAATAAGTTATATTTAGTAGAGCAATGTGCATCCTGTTATAAAGTAATCAATAACCAGAGGTTTATTTATTTATTCATTTATTTTATGGATAATTTGGATCAATTTAGCAATAACTTGGTTTGATGGAAATTCACTTTAATTCTTTTATTTCATTTTCAATTTGACTGATAACAAATATAATGTCAAATACCTAATGAAAGGAATTCAATGTCCCTGCATATCACTTAACGAAAATGAACTTGCAACTTTTGAATACTACTCCTTTGATGTTGAATTGAAGTTCATAAATTAGGGAGGTAATTCATTTATGGTGTTTTTGATAAATACCCAAAGCGATATAATTCTCATAGCAATGTATATTATATATCAGCAATCCTTAATTCCTCTGAATTACATATTCAGGAATATTATACATTTGCATTTGTATTTCATGAATTTGATGTTCAACTGCAAATTTAGAACTTACGAAATTACCCCCTTACTGATACATTGAAAGACTGTACATCATTTGGTCTTTGATGTTCAATCATCTGGTTGGTGTGGAAGAGTTGGAGCACTTATGTGTGTCTTCTAATCTTAAGCAGGCATTTCTTTTTCATTATATATCTAACCATTTGCTTTCAATATTTTTTAGAGTGTATATTATTTTTTCTGTCTTGCATTAGATGTACTAAAAAAAAAATACTATGCTTAAAATCTGTCAATGTCCTGTGCAAGATGTACCATTAATCCTATTTCATTTCCTTAGGGGTGTTTCCTGTTTCAAATATTTAATCCTTCTTCAGGTTCACAAATGTCTCTACTTCATCACTCCTGTCACATCCTCTTCCTCGTACCCTTATGCGTCATCACTTCATAAAAATCTGGTGCGATTATATACAATGCATTGAGTTGCATTACAACTTATTTGCAACATTTTTACTTCTAAATTGAGATTTATTTTTTCATATTAATTGATCTGTTGATTGGATATTATTTAGTATAGATCAGTCTCCTGAATGCTGTGAGGCCCATAGTTTAGCCCATGCAAAGAATATGGATTTTGCAAATATCATGGCTTTTGCTCTTCCAGATAATTAAGCATAAATCATGGTAATACTCTGAATTAAGCATGTAAAGTATTTCCTTGGTATGGGCTCAGCAGTGCTCAACTTTCAATCATGTACAGTAACTCTGGTTATATTCCTTGGTAAAAATGCAACTGTTGGGCAAGCTACTTTTGTTTCATTATCATAAATTTGAATATGAAAATAATATATATTTGTGTCAATGGATGAGCATATACTTTCAACCACAAAATGTGTATTCTTATAGGATTTCCATGGACCAAACTGTAAAGTACATATTAGAGTATATCAAAGTTCTCTAGAAGGAGAATGTTGGCTTGGTAGGACAGTTCCTGGACACTAACCTTTAGCAGCTAAGAGTGAACACAAGGGATAAGGCTGATGTTTAATCAGATATAGAAGATAATGTCACCAAAACAAATTTAGCTTAATGAAGCAGTTTTGGTGTATAGATCATGCCCCTGCAGTCTCAATGCTTAAATAGAAATTAAATAAATTTGTTTATGAGGCAGCTTGACCGCCATACTCAGAGGACACAGCGGGCTTGAGCTCCCAATATATCTAACTATTTATGTGATTTTGAGGAGGCTAATACCCTCTTACTACATACTTTGGGATTGGCAAACTCCTTTGGCAACTCTTGGACAACGTCAGTGTTGACTGACTACAGCTGCTGTGGCACAGACTAGTCGCAGCCTGGTGCGTCTCCTTGTCGGGGGAAGCAGCCGGCATCTTCAACCTGGACTGCACAGGCTCTCTCGTGAGCATTACAGCCCCCTACTCCCCTCCCCCCACTCCTCCCCTGGGCCGGCAGGGGTTATTCCAGCCCAAAACAAGCACTGATTACTCACCATTTTACTACTCTTGGGTGGTGACTACTCCCACACAGCCTATTCAAGATGGCGGACAACGGCGCTGCAGCGAACCATGTTGTACAGACTCAGATGCAGAGGTTCTTATGAACCTTTAACGCCATCTGTAAGCAGGTCTGGCGAAGCATAAGGAGTCAGAAGAAGCAACTCGCATTGTCAGCTCCAGTGATTCTGCCAGATTGCAGAGTTAATTCCAGACAGGGACAAAGCGTACGACATGCGGTCTGTGTAATCATGAAGATCATAGCTCCCTGAGATCTCGAACACATTGTCTGGCTGAAGGGGATGGAGCCTGTAAGCAAGAGTGCTGGAAGACTGTGGCAAGCCATGGAGTCTGGGGAGGTCTCAGTTACCCTTTACATCTGCTTGGACTGTGCATGTATGATATGGGTATAGGATGAATAGGCTGCTGCTCTGTAATCCCCTGTTAAAACAGTACTAATTTGTCTTTACCTCTAAACTTCTCACCTATCTACATCTATCCCAGCAACTCTTGAGAACACAGCGAAGATGCTCTTGGTGGTTTCATACTTATTTGTTTTTCTATTGTGCTTTCAGTTGACTTAGCCTGAGTATCTACTAACTTTTCTCTTCTATACTGACCTAGACTTGTTTCTTTCCTGTTATTTTGCTGTATCTCTGACATTGTGTGAAGATCTTGTTTTCAACCTCATTATACATATTCAAATCAAGATGTCTCTGTAAGCGTGTAAGTTAACCTATGCACTGCAAATATAAAGAATTATAAAACATATATATACAGGGAGTGCAGAATTATTAGGCAAATGAGTATTTTGACCACATCATCCTCTTTATGCATGTTGTCTTACTCCAAGCTGTATAGGCTCGAAAGCCTACTACCAATTAAGCATATTAGGTGATGTGCATCTCTGTAATGAGAAGGGGTGTGGTCTAATGACATCAACACCCTATATCAGGTGTGTATAATTATTAGGCAACTTCCTTTCCTTTGGCAAAATGGGTCAAAAGAAGGACTTGACAGGCTCAGAAAAGTAAAAAATAGTGAGATATCTTGCAGAGGGATGCAGCACTCTTAAAATTGCAAAGCTTCTGAAGCGTGATCATCGAACAATCAAGCGTTTCATTCAAAATAGTCAACAGGGTCGCAAGAAGCGTGTGGAAAAACCAAGGCGCAAAATAACTGCCCATGAACTGAGAAAAGTCAAGCGTGCAGCTGCCACGATGCCACTTGCCACCAGTTTGGCCATATTTCAGAGCTGCAACATCACTGGAGTGCCCAAAAGCACAAGGTGTGCAATACTCAGAGACATGGCCAAGGTAAGAAAGGCTGAAAGACGACCACCACTGAACAAGACACACAAGCTTAAACGTCAAGACTGGGCCAAGAAATATCTCAAGACTGATTTTTCTAAGGTTTTATGGACTGATGAAATGAGAGTGAGTCTTGATGGGCCAGATGGATGGGCCCGTGGCTGGATTGGTAAAGGGCAGAGAGCTCCAGTCCGACTCAGACGCCAGCAAGGTGGAGGTGGAGTACTGGTTTGGGCTGGTATCATCAAAGATGAGCTTGTGGGGCCTTTTCAGGTTGAGGATGGAGTCAAGCTCAACTCCCAGTCCTACTGCCAGTTCCTGGAAGACACCTTCTTCAAGCAGTGGTACAGGAAGAAGTCTGCATCCTTCAAGAAAAACATGATTTTCATGCAGGACAATGCTCCATCACACACGTCCAAGTACTCCACAGCGTGGCTGGCAAGAAAGGGTATAAAAGAAGAAAATCTAATGACATGGCCTCCTTGTTCACCTGATCTGAACCCCATTGAGAACCTGTGGTCCATCATCAAATGTGAGATTTACAAGGAGGGAAAACAGTACACCTCTCTGAACAGTGTCTGGGAGGCTGTGGTTGCTGCTGCACGCAATGTTGATGGTGAACAGATCAAAACACTGACAGAATCCATGGATGGCAGGCTTTTGAGTGTCCTTGCAAAGAAAGGTGGCTATATTGGTCACTGATTTGTTTTTGTTTTGTTTTTGAATGTCAGAAATGTATATTTGTGAATGTTGAGA